AAGAGTCTATAGTTGTATTGAGTTAGTGAGAGTTTACTGCCATTTGTGTGTGACATGTTGTTATTAATAAAGATTGCTTATACCTCAAATAATACATGCATATTCATGGATCTGTCACTTTATGTGTGATATTGTGTTGATACACTTATTAGTTGGCAAAGTGACAAGTTGAAACGATACACTTGTTGTTAGTCTCTATCACTGTTTTTTTATCCATATATTAAAGTTGTCGTCATGTTTTGATGAATCTCTAACGCCTGATTATATATAATGATTGTATTATGTCGATACGTTATTATGTATGATTGTTTTGGGCTTGTGTTTATTATGTGAGATCCTTAGTTGATGCTTATGCTGTGATGAGTGAATGTCTGTTGTACATAATGAGATGAAAACTTGTTTTATTAACTCGCTTGAGGCATATGAACTCCATCTATCTTATAATATTTGATCAGCCCATTGGACCAAATACCCTCTCCATTGTATATTGCTTAAAGCCCTTAGGTCTGTCTGGTTATATAATTAGCCACCATTTTTGTTTTTTGGTGTGCTTGTGGGGGTTTTTTGGGGTGTGGCCGAACATAAAGAGAGGGAGATATAGGGAGGAGCTCAAGAGCACCTCTTGCCATTCTTCCTCATGTTTGTAGGTTCTCCATTGATTCCGGCCGGGTCATTGGCGGATTCCGGTGACAGTGGACGACGCCTTTCGCTGTCTACCGGAAGAGGTAATCTTCCTTTGTCCACTTCAATGTATGCCTAAATCTCAAATAAGTTTTATGGTATTTTCAGATTTATAACTAGATTATTATTTTTGATATTGTTTAGATTGTGTTGAGATCATTTAAAATCTAGTACTTCTTACTTTTAAATTTATAATTAATTAATCTTCCAACGTTGTTCAAAGGTGTTAAAGTGATCCTCGCTTCTTGTCTTTAGCGTCTTAGGGTTGTGACAACAACTCTTGTATGTATCTGAGTTAGTTGAGGATAAGAATTCCTATATTGGAAAGTCACATCCCCCATAAACTAAACCTTCTAGTAGAAGTTTTTTTTATCAGTCAATTTAGATTTGGAAGTTTTTTTATTATTATTATTATGGAAAAACCTTATAGATTAACTAATAAAAGGGAGTTTTCATCGTTAAACCAGAAAAAAATGAATTAATTATCGGTAATTATTTACTTTTTAATTTATATAAAAACTATATATTTTGTATTTTTTTAATTTAATGTAATTTTAATTAGATCTTATGGTCAAAAACTGATACTACTGGTAAAGAAGACTACCGGGAAAAATCGCCTAATAAAAAAGAAACTTGTACTTCTAAATTAATGTGGACAGACTAGTTGACAAAATGGTCTTCGACCACCCAACTAAACTTGTGTCTAAACATCAACATATCACTATATACTTATATCCTCCTCATTCATTTTATCGATTCGAGTTTAGAATTTAAGTTTTGTTACAGTAAAAAACTCTTAGAAACAGTCACATCTAACTTTTTTACTACAGTAAAAAATTCTCACATAAAGTCATATCTCAACTCAAATTAAAAACTCGAATCAATGAACTAAACAAATCCTTATTTGTCGAGAATGCTTATTTGCCAGTAGTATTGTTTTACATGCTTATCTCAAAAATGAAAGTCAAACACATATTACAAACTTATTTAGGGACGTTTTTGAAGTGTTAAGACTGTTAGTGACACTAATATTGCACAAAGAACACGCACACTGTTTTGTGAAAGAGTTGTTTGTACTTGTTGGGCCTGTGTATCATTTTTAAGAAGAGGTAAAAATTACACGACTGTGTTTTTAAAAGTTGAATTAAAACAGTTTATTTTTATAATATCTTTTAAATTATATTTTTTGACACCTCTAAAATATCCTTTCAAGATCGTGTTCTGTTTTTATTGGTACCTAATTAGCTCCCATTTCTTTCTCGTAATTAAATTGCTAATTAAAATAATTCACATCTAGATTTTAAATTACTTTTAACACATTATTAATGCATTATATCGCATGTAGTTTACTATTTCCGTATTCTTGTTTGGTATATACATTGTCATTTACTTGTTATTTGGTTTACATACCAGGATGGTTATGATAAATGAAAAACTCGCATTCCTTAGTGTGTGACTTAATTTTACATGTTAATGATATTGTCATTATTGTAATAATATGTAATAGTTTTGTTTTGTGATGTTGTATGAATATTTGTATAATTATATTGTCGTTATTTTAACGAATTTGTGATTTTATATGTATAGATTATCATCAACTGCATAATTATATTGTTAGTATTCTAATGTAATTTAAATGGCGAGTATGAAACAATGACAATTTAATGTCATTCTTTAACTGACATGGAATGTTTAAAGACGGTTAATAATCCCATAAATTGTGGGATACAATATTTACACCATCTCGCATATATCTTTTCTATTTTTGAATGGGTAAATTTTATTTTAATGATTAAGCCAATACATCCTCTAAAATAGTAACAAATGACCATTCAATATAAGGACATTCAATCACAGACAAAAATTAGATCCGTCAATAAAGTCAAATGAGGCACAAAGATAAATTCGACTGTCGAGTCCTAACTATAAAAGACCCGCTTAGCACATTAACAATCGAGCGCAATAAAAGCTCGTACAGTCGATAGATAAAAACAGTCGATTGAGACTAAAAGACTCAGAGCACTAGGATCGCTCATAAGACCGCATAGGATCAAACCTAACAAGATAAACCTATCACCACAATAAAAAATATGAGACGATAACTTTCATTATTACATGACCAAAACATAAAAATTGAGACGGCAGAATCAACATCGCTTTTATTACATCAAAATATAAACTAAAAATAAGACAAAACTCTTCCGCCAGACATACAAAATCCTCGCGCGATAAATTGGCCACCAAGATCATAAAGAATAGATCGGTGATGACCCACACGACTCCATGGCCACTGCCGTTGAGCGTTCATCCACGCACAACTCCCCATTCTATGATCACTGTGATGAGAAAAGCGATATCCTAAGAGTATAGATATGCTGAAAATCTGGCATGCAGAATATGGTCATCCAAAAAACTGGCACCTCCTATCTCTTCCCTCAGTCTATTAAGTCGCCACCACCACCATAATCATTGGCCTTGAGACCTAGAGCCCCGTATCTAGGGTCGGGGTCCAACAACCAGCCAAGAGCATTTTCGAACTTCGGCCCTAAAATAGAAATTAAAGCAAGCAGCGCACAAAGAAAAGAACGAAACCCTAGAGATAGAAATGGAAAGAGAAAAGCATCTCGTACTTATCATTATCATTAAATAATAAAAACGTGGTCCTGTATAAAATACAGTTTAAAAACATTAGTATCATTATTAAAATTAACAATGTCATTATACATCTACATTAATAAGCCGCATGTAGAATATTCGTAAACTCGAGTCATTCAATCGTTATGTCTCATTAACCCTTTTTTAAAGGTATATGCAGCTAAATCTTACGTACACTAAACATCTTGAAAAGTTATTCCACGTATATTAAACATTATATATAGAATAATTCAACCAATATAACCTATAAAAATCAACCAATATATGTTTACATACAATACAGAAATACATAATCAAGCTTTCTTAGGTTTTACTTTATTTACTATAAATGATAGGATCGAAGTTTATATTAAAGCGAACAGAATCAAGTCACATGTGAAGTTAAAATAGAAGTGATGATTAACTGTTAACACGTTGTAATTTATAAAAATTAAATAAAAGTAATTAGATTAATTAATTAACAACCGATCCAAGAATCTCGATGGATCCTGATAATCAAATATTTAAAAAAAAAAACTTCATTCATCAAAATAATGACCACAATATTCAAGTAACATCTAACTTTTAAAAAAAAAAAAAAAAGATTCAGGTAATACATCTAACTTGGCATGAGAGTTAAGTACCCACCATGAACTGAAATACTGAACAAATCTAATTAAATGATATAAATCTCATGTGAGAAAACCTAGAACACCAATCAATAGTAAGAAATTTTTTTATTTATATTTTTTCTCTTTTGATTATAATATATCTATTGACTAAAGCCTCGTTCATTTAACTTATTTGATTTTATAATTTAAATTTTACTACAGTAAAAAATTCTCAGTTACATTTAATATTTTTGTTACAATAAAAACTCTCATATAAAATCATATCTAAACTCGAATCAACGAACTAAACAGACTAAGGGCCTGTTCACTTCGCTGATTCGAGTTTAGAATTCGAGTTGAGATGTGACTTTATGTGAGAGCTTTTTACTGTAGTAAAAAAGTTAGATGTGAGTGTTTGTGAGAGCTTTTTACTGTAGAAAAACTCGAATTCTAAACTCGAATCAGCGAAGTGAACGGGCCCTAAGGTCCTATTCATATCACCAATTCGAGTTTAGAATTTAAATTTTACTACAGTAAAAAATTTTCATAAATAATTACATTTAATTTTTTTACTGCGATAAAAAACTTTCACATAAAATTATATCTCAATTCTCTACAGTGGTGAAGGAGACAAACGCAAGGGGGAGGAGACTTCTGGAAGCCAAATTTGACCAACAAGACCATGCCAACGCATGGCATGAATCCAAGTACGTCAGAAGACAGAGACCCTTTTACACGGTTTCTTCCGGGAAAGTGGAAACCTTGCAAAGCAAGTTTATTTATTTATTATTATTTATTTATTTTTTAATTTTTTTCAAAGTTCATAAAAGCTAAAACGGCGTCGTTCGCCTGTATGTAATGGTGTTGCTTAAAAGTATTTGACCGTGTCCGCCTTCCTCGTTGCCACAATATTGTGGGCTCGTGGGTCCTTCAAACAAATGATGAATTTACGACCGTAGACTTCACTATGTTCACGACTTGATAATTGACCGACTGCTCACTGTTCTTGCTTTGATCTCCTCTATAAATACCAGTCTCACGAACTTCCATTGCATACACCAAGGCTCAAAACCAAAAAAAAAAAAAAAAACCAACTTTCCAAATTTCTTATTGGATTTTGTTCTCTCTAAAACATTAGTGATTTTGTCGTTTCTCATTTGAGTGTTCTTTTGAAACTTCTCAGTCTCAGATCTCTCAAGCTTTGTGACAATGAAGGTTAGTGATTATAATTCAACTCTGTTTTAAATTTTCTTTTCTTTTTTGCTTTCTCTTTCTGTTAGGTTGTGTATTTTGGTTTTCTCGTCGTAATTTTGGATTTTTTGTTTTGACAGGTGGTGGTGCTGAAAATCGATTACTATGACGAGAAATGCCAGAAGAAAGTCATGAAGACAGTCTCTGGTCATTCAGGTACTATATATAACTAATATATATATATATAGATATACACATATAGCTTCTGTATTTAATTTGATCTTGTGCTAAGCTTCAATCAAGTTCATATATTTTATGACAAAACTTTTACTGATTTCCATTTTTTTTTGGGGGTGAATTGTTTAGGTGTTGTGTCGATTGCGTTGGACACGAAGGACAAGAAATTGACAGTGACAGGGGACATAGATCCGGTGAGTTTAGTGAGCAAATTACGGAAGCTTTGCAACACGGAGATTGTTTCGGTGGGAGCTCCAAAAGCAGCGGAGAAGAAGGAAGAGCCCAAGAAAGAAGCGGCCAAGAAAGAAGAACCAAAGAAAGATCAAAAGGCTGAAGATTTGCAGAAGCTGTGGCAGCAGGCATACCTGCAGCAGGCCTACAAGTATCCTCCGCATTATTACACCAGAACCGTAGAGGAAGATCCTAATGCTTGTGTCATCTGCTAAGTTTAAGATTTAGAATAAGTTAGAAGATAAGCCATGGAAAAAGAAATATTGTACTTTTAATTTTTTATTTTTTATTTTATCCTAAAGATCTTCGTTTACTGCTATGTCACGGGTGTTTTTTTTTTTAGTATGTACAATGTCTGTACAGTACTAAGTATTGCCAGTTGCTGAGTTGCACTTCAACGTGTGTTTTTATTTTTATTTATTTTTTAATATGAATCAAAATAATACTAGCAATCCGTTTAATCAAACATCTCCGGACCATCCTATGCTAGCTAGATTTTTATCCAGAGTATGAACTATTGTATGAGATAACAAAAACTGATTTGAAAGCCCCAAGACTTTTTTGGCTTTTCTTTACGTATTCACATTTGATCGGTGTATTCGTGTCATAATTTGAATAATAATTCATAATTTATTATAATATTTCTTTCAAAAAGATACGTAAATTGAGAATAATTAGAGGCGAAAATATCATTTGGAAAAATAAAAAAAAAATGCCAATTCTTGTTTCAACGAAATAGAATAGCATGACGACATCTAGAAAATGACTCCGTCCATAATATGATTAGTATGCAGTTATAATAACATGTGTTAATGAAATTTTTTTTTCAGTCAATCCATATCACAAACTATGAAGGAGAGTCGTGCCGTAGTCTAATTGAATTCATTGTGATAAAGACATACTACGAGAAAACGATTTAATTGAATGAAACAGCTCAGAGTAAAGATATTATTTGTTATTTAATTATTTTCTTTGTACAAAGTGTATAAACCATAAACAATTCTGCAAATAAACTTTTATTGTTTGTCCTTATTTCTTATCGTCAAATGCAGTCGTCGGGTCCAGCAAAGCGTATCTTCAAGAACGATTAAAAATGGCATAAAATATATAACTATAGAGACGGGTATGTAGACATTTCGTCGTTTCCTCTGTCCTCTATTTATATTTTAAATAACTCGGCCCACTTTGTCGTCGTTTTTAGACCATGGATTCAAAAACTGCCCCCACCATTTATACTTTTGTCATCTTTATGGCACGTCCCTAATATCATCCACCTGCTTTGTTTGTACATTACGAACCAATTAAAATGTTGGCACTGAAAATGAAGGAACTAAAGTGTAAAAGGATTCACCAAAAAAAAACAAAAAAAAGATACAATGTAACGGACATAGTTTAGTGAGGAATTAAACATTTAATTAACGCCTAGTTGTATATATATTGTAAGCCAAGTTCTGCAAAGCTCAAGGTGCAGTGGAATGGGACTATATTTGAAAAACAAATAATTTAAAGACCGTCAAATTAAGTGCTTTCTTTATTCAATATACTAAATATGATCAGTCTCCTGATCATGAAAAGACATGGATCCAGCCCAAAATGTTGACTCCTGTGATTTTATTAATAATGGAGAATTGATAGTGGGGCCGGGCTTAACCCAAGGTTAATCTCTTGTAAAGTTGTAATAGTGGAAGGCGTGGAATTTTGTGCAGGTCAACTATGGACTACTTTGCAATAAACAAATACGGAAAATTCAATATATAGTAGAGTATGAAATATAGGTTGAAAATGATTTCGTTTTTGTTTTACATATTTTTTAAGAAAGAAAAATAAAAATATTTTTAAAACGGTGTTTGATATAATAGAGATAAAATATAGAAATAAAAATAATTTTTTAATTTAGTGTAAAATAAAAAAGAAATGAGAAACGACTTTTAGTCGTTTTTTATTTTTTATTTTCGTTTTCTCTTCTCTCGGGCAGAAAGAAAGAAAGAAGGACATTAATGAGTTTTTTTATACTGAAAACAATCTCTTAATAAAATTACTAAATGCATTTTTAAAAATAATTTATGTCTGAGATTGAAAATGTTTTCGTTTTCATTTTCATATAAAAATTAAAATCATTTTAGATCGAGTTCCAAACGCGCCTATAATACTCTGTTGAACACAATTTTTTCAGGTATCATAGTGTCAACAAATATCGCGTTCAACTTATTAGACACAATATTTATTGATCACATGATAACTGAAAAAATTGTAATCAATAGAGTATTATATTCCCTCCTCTATTATGTAGTGAATTTTCCGTACGGATTTTTGTGTAATTCATAACTTTGTCTAATAAGTGGAAAAGTTTTCTCCTCTCTTACCACAAAATTCTCAAACAAGTGATACATAGATGATTTCTTTGTATGGTTGGTGCTTAATATTTTTGTATATAATATTTCCGCAAGCGTACGGTGTCAAGTTTTGAGTATAGGGTGAGTGAGTATCGTCTCCACAGGGATTGGGTTTAGAATTACCGTTAAGTACCGCGATTATTGTAACTTAACTTTATCTAAGCAACCCAATAAGATGATGATTAAGAACTAAAACAAAATAAATATAAGAAAATAAAAATAAAGTATCTATACACAAATGGTCTAGGGACTTGATTTCGCTTTATTATTCCATGTTCATCCTATTATGTAATCGCTAATCAATTCCGTTCAATTCATTAATCAAGGCTCTAATGTCATCTCGCAACCTCTCTCGAGTGCCTCACAAGAAATTGTATTTAAATACCCAAAACAATATCCCTATTCGAAATGAATATTTAAACACAAATTAAGCTTCGCCTTTAGAATTAGAAAATAGGAATATTGATCGCTTCTCGGCCTCACAACGACCTAAATCCTAATTTGATTATCTAACCGTTGATCTCCTCTCGGTCTCACAACAACCTAGACTATGTTTCTCAAATCTAGATAAAGAACTCAATCTCTCTCGAGCATCAAATTTGTAATCTAAAAATCATCTAACTCATTGGCCAAATAAATTAGAAGCATTAAGCATATAGAAACATAAATGAATTGAAAACGAAATTAAATTAACAATCAACAAAATATTCAAAACATAGTTCAAATAAAACTACATCAAGTCCTAGATTTAATGTCTAGCTCAACATGAAAAAATAGATGAAAGAAGATAAAACCCAATATCCATTGAAGAGCTTCCAATGACCTCCAAGATGAAGGATTTCGGCCTCCTTTTGATGTTTTCTTCAGATTTCCGAGCTCCCCTTCTCAAGTAGCATCTCTTTCCTTTTATACTACTCAGTTTCGGAGCTAGGGCTTCATACGCGCGCTGCAGCCTGCGTGAAAACGCGTTGCGGTGCGCGTTTTTGGAAGAGGATTCCGCTGTTGCGGGCTAGGGCGCGCTGCAGCGCGCGGGGTTGCCATCTGGGCGCGCTACAATGCGCGTTCCTGCTCTGGGCGCGCCTGGATGTGGGGCGCGCGCGAGCGCGCCCCTGGATGTGGGCGCAGGCTCGGTGTTGCGTGAAAACTCGCAAGTATACGAATCGCACAAGTAATAAAGTGTACAAGAGTACAGATATCGTTCCTGCTCTGGGCGCGCGCTGGGTGTGGGCACGAGCGGCCGCGCGCCTGGATAAGGGGCGCGTGCGAGCGCGCCCCTGGATGTGGGCGCGGGCTCGGTGTTGCGTGAAAACTCGCATGTATACGAATCGCACAAGTAATAAAGTGTACAAGAGTACAGATATCGATCCCACGAGGATTGTGTTTAGCTTTCGTTAAATACTAATATTGATTAGCTTCTAGGATTGGTTTTATATATTTTTATAACAATAACAAGAATGTAATTATGGGATGTAATTCAATGGTGCAAATGAGCTAGGTTTGCTAACTTCCCCTCAATTGCAAGTCTGACTAAAATGTTACCTAGAATGCTGCAGCATTCACTACCCCTGTTAACAGAAACTCCGTTATTGCATAAAATTCTTCCGAATTAATTATGACTAAGGTTCCTTAAACTATTTTCAGCATATTCCTATGTGAATCCAGCTTCCAGAATGCAGATTTAAACTCAGGTTTCTTTAAGTTATGCAAGGTGAATAATATATTCCTATACCATCCACTAATCAACAACTAAGCAAGGTTATTGAACAAGCATCACTCATGTTAGATCCGATTAAAACTAACCCTTCCAGTATTAATCTTAATCTTGTATCCTAAAATTGATGGCCAGTCAAGAATAGAAATAGGCATTAATACACATGAATGAACCGGAATAGCAAATTAATAACACCTCAGAAACACATTGTCAACCTTGCAATCTTAGTTCCATTAGCAAACCTAGCTAAAACAAATTAGTTCATAATGAGATTTACAGAATTCAAAGCTCCAGAATAAGCCATGGCTAAATTAGTAACTATATACCAAAAGAGAATTAAGCTAACAGAAAGAAGAAAGAGTTTCAGCTGGATTTGGGATTCCTCTTTGTCCGGCCTTGCTTCTTTCAACCTCCTGCTTTCTTCCCTTCTCTCACGTCTCTATATTCTCTTTTATGGAGATAGGTACTCTATGTTTTCTGGAGAGGGGTGCTCTCTGTATTTCCTCTGTGTGTCCAGCCCCAGAATACCTTTTTTTCTATTTCCTCTCTCTCCCCTTTTTCTCTTCCCCCTGGCGGCTGCCTTTTGTTTTTTAGAAAGCATTTCCTTTCTAGGGCAACAATAGGGCTGAGGTGTCACTTGATGATGTGCACAGTGGACCACAATGACACCTACTCAGCCAGCTCACATGGATTCCTTTTTGTCTACTTTCTCCAGCTAGTGTGCTGTCATCAGCCATATGCCAGCTATTCCCAGAATGCTGCCCACAATGCCGCAACATTTAGCCCAGAAATTCAAAGTGCACTGCACACACAGCCTTAGTCAATTTTTCACCTCATTTTACTTTAAAATCACCAACTTTCACTTTAAGAAGAGCACCAGTACGAAATTAAGCCAAAGTAAGTGTAAACTCTACAAATCTAAATTAAAACACACCATAAACTAGAAAAATCACTCTTGGTCACGCAATTTTGAGCTATAAAACCATTGGATAACTCTAATTTCTTAGAGTTATCACTCGGGCGCGGGCACACGTCCCATTCTGTCGTTTTCCTTTGCGCGCTGTAGCCCGCTTTCTTGCATTCCAAAGCCTCCTCTTTTGTGCCTTAAAGTCCTTTTTCCCCTCATCTTGGCATTGATTCACAAGTTGGGCAAATATTCTTCTTTTCTTCATGCAAAATCATCCAAGTTCGCATTTATTTATAATTCCTATAAAAAGCATACAAAAAACATTAAACTAACAAAAATGCTTGAAGACTTACAAATATTCATGCTTGAAAGTACTTGATTTGTTGGTAGAAATACCCGTCATCAAATACCCCCAGACTCAAACATTTGCTTGTCCTCAAGCAAAAGAAAAGAAA